AATGCTTCAGTGAATAAATTGAATTTTTTTAACACTTCGCCCTCTGTTTTTATCTAAAAAACTTGAACATTTTAATGCTGGGACCCTTTTAAGGTTCCAGTCCTCGATCATCCACTGTATACATGTCATATTCGAAACATGATAGAATTTTGAGTGGTACAAATTGAACAAAATGCATCTTGAACATTTTATCTTCCCTTCCTTTTCTTTATGCCTTATTCTTATGGTGGGGTTTAGCTTGATAGATTTAGAGGAATTACTTTGCTTAAAGCAAAGGCTTGTAAAGAAAGAAATTACAGTTATTGATTCCGTGATAATTAGTTATGGTCGTTATTTTATCAAACTAAATATTGAATTTAAGTCGGATATTCAACAATTTTTATATTATAATATATACACACATCAATTCAAATTATAGTTTGGCATGAATTCTTAAAAGCATTCATTGCATTTTTGCAAAAGTATATTTAAAAAAAATGTTATTATTACTTAGGAATTCTTTATTAGATTGTAGTTTACATATCCAATATGCAAAAACAAATAAAACAAAGTGAGTGTTCGATTTCATTTTCATTCTTGTCACGTTGATTACTGCATTATAACTTTTTTTATATGAACTGAACTTTTGTCCTGACCTATTAACCCAAAACAAGTAAACTATTCATAATCTATAGTCACATAATTGTAACTATTTTATCCCCAAAACATTAAAACCAATTAACTTTTGAAGAAATTACCACGAATCGTTCAGTGGTTATATATGAATTTCAAATCCGTATTCTATACAACAAGTCCTAGATTTAATTTTTAACCCTGATGAATCACACGGTGGTAATCATAAGAAACTTGAAATGCCTTTATGAAACCTTCCTGGCATTCAAAATAATGAACTGTCTTGACAAAATTACCAACTCACCCCCTTTAAAAAAACGTAACTTTCGAAGAAGATATAAAGACATATCGCATGACGTCTGTGGCATTTTTCATATCCTCGAGAACGCAACCAATCATTGCCTAAAACGGAGAAAATAAAAACCCTTAGCCGACATTCATCGACCAAGGGCAAATTCGTTAAATTGGTTAAAAACCACCACCTCAAACGGATTGGCAAAAGCGTCATTCCAACAAACCCAGTGTCCTACTACAGTACAAATAGAGCTGCACCAAGCGAATCATGAAAAGGAATATTCGCATATCCAAATGGCATTATTCCTAACATGCTGCGTATATACCCTCGCCGAAGTTCCGGGCCAAAGCTTCTTTTTTTTTTTTTTTAAATTAATTTTTTTTAACAAACAATATTACTTATACTAAAAACATAAAAGTTTCACAAAATTAAATTTGAAGTGTAATTTAGGATTTTTATGCCCCAAAAGAGTTGTCAAATGAAATTTTCAATCTAAAAAATGCTACACTTGTAGATTTAGAGGCTCTCTTCAAAAATTATTTTTATTTATAATGATGTATTTTTGTTAATTTTATTTTTCAAAAAATGAAATAATAACAAAGTTCACTCGATGAAAAATATTAATAATAATAAATTAAGATTTGCGAAGTCTGTTGCGAATCAACATTTTTTAGTTTTTACATTGCTATGTGGGTCACTTTGTATTTAAAGAGTCATATTTAGAGAATCTATTGGAGAGCTTTAAACACAGTTACTTGATGTTACAATTTCACATAATGTATAACAAATAAATTTATGGGTTTGATATCCACACATCTTTTTTTACTTTTCTCACACACACTTTTTTAATTTATGTCATTTGATTTTTTTTAACTCATTTGATTTGACGGCACCAAATTAAGAGGGTATGTAAGAAGTAAAAAATGATGTACATATAGCACATCCCATAAATTTATTTCTTATTCATATCGAATTAAGCCAACATGTGAAATAGTACATTACATAACTTATGGATGATAATTACATCTTTCAATTTCTTAATCGTAGCTTGAAAATCATCCTTACATTCTTTCTTTTTTTTCAAACAATTGATTTTATTAAATTAAATGTTAGATTAGCCACTAACAGGATTTAAATCCACCCCGTCATGCAACGATTCAACACATTTTCATCACTATAATAAATGATCACTTGCCATCCTTATATTTATTTGAATTGGTGATCATTTAGTCACCTATTTATATGAAATAATAAGAAGTGAGTTGGCGTTTGCGGTCATAGTTGTTGCTTCTTTGAGATTGGTTTGGTGTCATTATGGATCTACATGGATTCGTGGTACAGGAAAAGCTTGTTAATGCAGTTTAGTTAAGATTGGCATTACTTGTGTCTTCTTTGAGCTAAGAGTCAATCAAAAATATGTTACATTCAAGAATTGTAATTATAATTTAGGGACAAAGATTGTCTGCCCTCCCACTTCCGGTGCCCTCTTGTGTCCTCCTGTTTTGTAAGCCACATCAACATTTTATATTGTTTTTTTATAAAGATAATAAGACAAAAATGAATAGTAATATAAACTATTAACGTGGTTTAATCGTGACCATACAAACAAAAGGGTATGGGAGGGCATGGGAGGACATCGAAAATGAGAGGGCAAAAAATCTTTATCTATAATTTAGTGGATGAAAGAATTATCTTAAAAGCTATTCCACGTCGGCAGCAAAGGTGCAGATGGGATGGCCAAGTCGATGGTTAGTGGATGGCGTTCGAGCCGCTAAAAAACTCTGCACTCTTTTGGCGACACGCGACGCGTCGCGCTTGGCCCCTACTGGAACGCTCGTCTGCATCAGAATGCGATTCTTAATACGACATTCGAGGGGAACGCACATCGAAGTTTCGTTTTTTTGTATCGACGTTTCGAAAGTGTTTCGGATCGGGTAATCCGGGGCCCAGCTATTCTAGGCGGCGGCCCACTGCTCTTTCGCAGTCTTCTTTTGTTAGCAATTTCTGTTCACAAATTATTATTTTTTTGTTTCTTCTTAATTTTGGGGAATTATTGTGTGTTATTATTGGTGTTGTGTTGGACAATGAGGGGAACATTTAACTTTGGTTCATAAATGTTATTTATGTACATACCGACGCAGAAGAGTTGCGTAATAATTTTAGAGAAATTTCTTGAAATAGCATATGAATTTAGTGATTTGTTATATCAAGTTTTTAAAATCATTAATTTGTTAATTTATTCAATTTTTTAATTTTATTTTTTTCATCTAAAATAAGTCATGTTGACTTGTGATCAGTGTTATTTCGGACTTTTAACCTCTTATTCACAAGTTCTTTGCTTCTCATGAATACAAATCCTTAAATTTTGGCTAGTTAAATATATGTCTTGTTCGTTTGAAAAACTTATAGTGAACTACTAAAAAAATATATATTAGACTCACAAACATGAAGTTGTTAATTGCAAGCTTTGAAAATTCAACATGGTCAATCATGTCCAAAAAAAAAAAATCATGTCCATAAAGAATGCGGCCAATCATTGTTCAAAATCGAATGTAAGAAACGAGAAAATTTTGCTTAAATTTCACAACATTTTTTTGTTCCCAAAAATAATAGATTGGAGGGTCCCCAGTGACTATTTTTTTTTAGAAAACTAATGAAAATGACAAAATAAAGGATAAAATGAATAGTACCTGAATTGACTTTTTAGTGTAAAAATTGTTGGGTCTCGAAACACCTTCGTCTAGTTGTTACTGCAACTTTTTGTTAGGGTGGTTTAACTTATTTTGTGATGTGGGTCATCCGTAATACATAGATTTGGATCACTTGCCCCTTATATGATGCATATTAGCAGGATCAAGCCCATAGCGTTTTAAAAAAAGCCCAATCCAACAGAAATCACGTTGTAGACGTGCTGGGCCGATTTGGTAGAAAAACACAATGCATTGTCGTATTTGTCTGATCAGATTCCCAAGCCTAAGACATTTTACAAATTCATGATTCGTTCTAGACCTGTAAACGGGTCGGATTTATTGGGTTTGGGTCGGGTTGAATCCGACCCTTTAAGTTAACGAGTCATCCGAACCCAACCCGTTAAGCTAACGGGTCATCCGAACCCGACCTGTTAAACTAACGGGTCACCCGTTAACACCCGTTAACAATTATTTTTATTTTTATTTTTTGCATAAAGTTTATTTTTTGTCATTAAGATTTTACTAAAATTACTAAAATATCCTCAACTAACGGGTGATAACGGGTGTTAACGGGTCTAACGGGTTGACCCAAAGTGACCCGTTATTTAACGGGTTGTTAACGGGTTCACCCGTTAACGACCCAACCCGTTAAGCATCCACCCAAATACAAATATTAACGGGTTAGGTCGGGTCGGGTTAACGGGTTGGGTCCAAAATACCAGGCCTAATTCGTTCCCACTTCCGTTTGAAATTTCTTTAATACGATTAATATTTTCATGAGATTAGAAAATGAAAGATATGAAAAAGGAGAATGAAGTCTGAATTTATCTTTCGTCAGAGATCAATTTAGTGGTAAAAGACGGATTACAAGATTTTCTTAAAACTAAAAATTAGAGGTTTTGAGCTCGAAACACATTATTAGTGTGGAAGTCAGACTTGTGATCAGGAAAGGCTAAAATGCCTCTGTAAATCATTTCGACCTCTGAAAAGAGTGAATATGTGAGACTCCAATAAAAATAGTAAAATTTAAACATGTGAAATCACATTATTGCTTTTTTTTTTTGTGTGATAGAAGACTAAGTAATCTTTTGGTTAACAAAAAAAATTTCATTAATTAATAAAGATTATCATCTTTGATAAAAAAAAAAAAAAAAAAAAAGAGTTTTCAGTCGGTTTTGAAATTGCAACCTCCACACAGCATGACCATTTCTTCAATGTCGAAATGTTTCGTAAATGAATGGTATCGGAAATAATTTTTTAAAGTAAAAATATCGAAATGATTCGTTAAAACTTATATTTGTAAATATTATCCAAATTAAGAATTCTTTCCCTTTTTTTTTTTAATTAATTGAGTTGCATTATTTCATTAAGAAATTTCGAAACTCAGATTTTGAACAGTGGAATACGAAATTTGCAGAGCACAGTCCATCAATCATTTCATCACAAAAACAGTCGAACCAGTTTTTTGAGATGCGAAATTCGTACAACATTTCTTCACTTTCATCACAAAAGCGACATGGAAGATGGAAAACGGAAATTAAAATTCAAGGCCTCGGTCAGATTAACAAAAACACCATTAGAGCTCAAACTATTCTCAGCAGTCAGCGATTCCTATTCACAAAAAACTCCGGCGAGACCAGTACGGCACCACTACTCGACCTTCACGTGGAAGACGTCGGCCTTCTCCTCTTCCTTCAACTTCGGAACAACCACCTTCAGCACGCCGTTCTTCATCTCCGCCTTGATGCTGTCGGTCTTGAACATCTTCTCCGGCAGCCCGATCCCGGTGTTGTACCTCCGCGGCGGCGCCTCTTCCTCTCCGACGTTGTCTTCCTTCCCGCCTTCTCCCTTGATGCTCAGGATGTTGTTGTGCTCCACCGAGATCTTCACGTCCTCCTTCCCGAGCCCAGGCATGTCGAATCGGAGATGCAGAGCGTCCTCCGTCTCCCGCGTACCCCAGCCTAGGCGAAGCCCCGCCTCCCCGACGCCACGTGTCGCCGAGAGGATGGGATTCTCCGAGATCTGGTCCATCAGGTTCAGCACGTGGCTCAGGTTGGGCCTCGGCGAGAACGGGACGAACACATCTGAGAAGAAATCGTCGCCTCGACGAGAGAAATGGCGGCCGGAGCGGCGGTCGAAGTTGAGGTCGCTTTCATTGTTGTCATCGTCGGAGCTGCGGAGAGCGTTGGTGTTGAAGAGCTTGGAAGCGGGGGAGCGGGTAATGGCGAGTGGGCGGATAGTGGAGATGGCGAAGGACTTGGGGAAGCGGTTCGCGGAGAGGAGGCGGCGGAGGGCAAGTGAGGAAGCCATTGAAGACGATTGCAAGGTTTTACGCTTGGAGAGCAAGGAAATTGGCTGGGTGACTGTAGACTGGTAACGTGGCTTATTGGGATTGGAGGTGGTATTTGTACCGGTGAATGGAACAGTGTGGAAGGATCCAATCAGAAGTTTCTGGAAGCACCCGAGAGATATTTTATTGTCTTGGGCCTTGAGTTGGGCTCTGAGGCCGAATTGTTTGGGCTTATTTTTCGCAAAATAATACCCATTCTGTTTCCGGAATATAGTAGGGCAAAGTTGACACTACATATTTATCCTTATTCACGAATTGACCCCAAAATTCTGGTGTCGTAATGGAAAGTATTGCCAATTTGCCAATTGGTCCTTCTTCTTCTTCTTTCTTCCTCATCGGAAGATTCATATCAGTAGAGAAGTACACCCAAAGCTTGAAACTCGGCAGCTGTCATTTCGGAAACCGAGTCATAAAAGCGAGTCGACCCGTCCGATTTGTAACCGAGTCAGTAAGCGCGGGAAGCAATGATGCTGGATTTGGGTCCGTTCTCGGACCGGAACTTCGACCCGAGGAAGTGGGTGAACTCGGCGTGTCAGACCCGGCACACGCAGGATTCGGTGGACAAGCACACGGTGGATCTCGAGATGAAGCTCCAGATGGTCTAGGAGGAGATCGCAGCTTCGCTCGAGGAGCAGAGCGCCTCCCGCCCTCCTCCGCGTCCCGCGTGCCACACGTGATGTCGTCCGCATCCGCGACGACGCCGTATCCTCCATTCTCGACAAGTTCAAGAAGGTATGTTACCGTTACCAGCCTCCAGTGTGTGTTATGCTCTGTTTGGTTGCTGCGAAAATGTGGGAAAGTTGAATTGGGATTTATTTGGGAATTGAACAATCAATCAATAACGTGCATTGTGCAGGCAGAGGGATCCTCAGCTGAATCCATGGCGGCGCTTGCAAAAGTCGATATTGTGAAGCAGAGAATGGAAGCTGCATACGAGACATTGCAGGATGCTGCTGGGTTAACTCAGCTGAGTGCGACGGTGGAGGATGTTTTTGCAAGCGGTGATCTGCCTCTTGCGGCTGAAACTTTAGCCAACATGAGGCATTGCTTGTCTGCTGTTGGGGAGGTAATGGAAGCTGCATTTATGCATTTAAAGATTTGCATTTTTGTAGTTGATTCAGTACCATATAGTACAGTTTTCGTATATATTTGGTCGAGATGTAAACGTATTTTTTTTTTATCAAACCTGTGATTTTAGGTTGCTGAATTTGCTAATCTGAGGAAGCAACTTGAGGTCTTAGAGGATAGGCTTGATTCAATGGTGCAACCACGGCTAACTGATGCAATATCCAATCGCAAGGTCACATTTTCATAACTTTTTTCTTGATCAATTGCTCCCTTTCTATTAGATTCCGACGACACTTTTTGGTGACATTAGATATTCTTTCTGGTGACATGCCAAAGGGTATCAAGATCCAGACGAAGCATCTGGAGGCTTTGATTGAGTTACATAGTATGACCCAGACCTTTGCAAGGAACATTTAGCATTTGTTTTCGGAATCTGATCTACGTGTTTTAATGGATACGCTAAAGGCAGTCTATCTTCCATATGAATCATTTAAACAAGGGTAAGAAAGATCAGGGTTTGAATTGTCATCCAGGCCTGGTTTTCTTTTCTTCCTTGCATTTGATTCAGTTCGGAGCGACATTTGATTTCCTTCTTTTTGTGCGTTTTTTTTCTACTGGTTGATTGATGATGAAACATGTGGTCTAGGTATGGACATATGGAGCGTGCTATACTTTCTGCCGAGATTGCTGGAGTGGATCTAAGAGGAGCTGTTACTCGTGGTGTGGGAGCTCAAGGAATTGAGCTTAGTGAAGCAGTTCGCAGAATGGAGGAATTGATTCCCCAAGTTATTGTACTTCTTGAAGCAGCTGTTGAAAGATGCATCAGCTTCACTGGAGGTTCTGAGGCAGATGAGTTAATTGTAGCAATTGATGACATAATGCTACAGTATATTTCTACCTTGCAAGAAACCTTGAAATCGTTAAGAGTTGTCTGTGGAGTGGATCATGGTGGTGACACTGTTGGTTCAAAGAAGGAGATTGGGTTGGATAAGGACATCCAAAGCGCGCGAAAGGTTGATTCGATTTCAAATGAGGAGTGGTCCATCGTGCAAGGTGCTTTACAAATTCTCACGGTTGCAGATTGTCTAACTAGCAGGTCCTCTGTGTTTGAAGCTTCCTTGAGAGCTACTCTTGCGAGATTGAGCACTACGCTCTCAGTTTCCGTGTTTGGTTCAAGTGTGGACCAAAACCCATCTCATCTCGCTAGTGATGATGGAAATGGTTTCCCATCTTTGGGTGGAAGGGCTGCCCTGGATGTGGCGGCTGTGTGGCTCATAGATGTTCCTGAGAAGGCTCGAAAACTCTTTAACCTTTTAAGTCAGGTATGTTTAGATTAATGTTTCAGCCTTGCTGTTCTCTCTTCCATATTTGTGGGGGTTGAAATATAAAATTGACACCACCCATTGGTGCGATGCAGTCTAAAGATCCTCGGTTTCATGCACTTCCCCTCGCATCTCAGAGAGTTGCAGCATTTGCTGACACAGTTAATGAACTTGTATACGATGTTCTCATCTCTAAAGTACGGCAATGCTTCAGCGATGTTTCTCGATTACCAATATGGTCCTCGGTCGAAGAACAAAGTGCCTATAATCTCCCAACCTTCAGCGCATATCCTCAGGCCTATGTGACTAGCATCGGTGAATATATTCTTACTTTACCTCAGCAGTTAGAGCCACTTACGGAGGGCGTTTCAAACAGCGACACCAACAATGACGAAGCCCAGATTTTTGCAACAGAATGGATGTTCAAGGTACCGACTTACATCTGCAATATTTTGTACGAACTTCGTTGAATCTTATCAAAATCGCATAAATGATTCGACAACACTCTTCCTTTTTGACGACGCTGTGTTTCTGCAATGAAGGTTGCGGAGGGGCCACCGCTCTTTACACGGAGCAACTGCGAGGGATTCAGTATATCACGGATCGTGCAGCGCAGCAGCTATCTGTTGACATAGAGTATCTGAGTAATGTGCTATCTGCCTTATCAATGCCAATTCCGCCCGTCCTTGCGACATTCCACACCTGTCTTTCTACCTCAAGAGATCAGCTCAAGGACCTTGTGAAGTCGGACGCAGGAAATCTCGACCTTCCAACCGCAAACCTTGTATGTAAGATGCGGCGTTTGAGTCTTTTAAAAGATGTGCAACACATTCTTGAATGGTTTTTCTTTATCCAAAATGATCCTGAGATTTGCATAACTCCTCACTTTGATCCTTGAGATTTGAAATCAATAAAATTGGTCTCTCAGTTTATCCACCATCAATCATTTTGATCATACCCTTAATTTTAGTCATATCATTTTGTTCCATTGTAAATTAAATTAAGGATATATTTGTTATTTGGATCCTTATTCAACATAATTTTGCATTGAATGACCAAAATGAGTGATGATAGACAATCACAGAGACCATTCCTATTAATTTCAAATTTCAAGGACTAAAGTGATGTGTTATGCAAATCTTATAAACCATTTTGGCTAAAAGGCCTTCTTGAGTTTATACAAAAGGTCAGGTGGCTTTTGTGTTTGAATTAGCCGCATCACGATTAGGCCATATCAACGCATCACAATTTAGGAAGAAAAAATAAAGAAGGAATTCTAATATGTGCTCCACAATAAATTCAACAGTGAAGAATAGTGTGTCAAAAGTGATACAAAACATATTCAATTACGACTCATAAATCAATCATTTCGGTTCCATTTGGTAACTCGATTTAAAGCAACTAGTTCAGCAGCAAAAATAGGGACGCCTCCACAAACCATTGCTAAGCCATGACAGATATTCGACCCAACCTAATCATCATGGTTCTCTTCCTGCAAAACTTTAAAAGAAATGCACTAATCTGCAGAATATGATTTGGCAGTTACCTCCGTTCACCGATAACGGCAAATCTTATACAGCAACCCAGTGTGGTGAAGCAGATGCCCGTGCCCCGTTGAAACAATACACGGCTTCTCAGGGACCGAATTGTGATCAAGACAGAAATTTGAACTCCAAATCTACCTATTCACATGATAATGTAATCTTTACAGATTAACTTCACTTCTATGACTGGTCTGTCATTATTCTCTCACCGAAAGGAATGCTTGCACCGATCTAACCATTAAAGTTCGATAAGCTAAAGGGGGAATGAAGAGGAGAGGAGAGGAGAGGGCAGACAAATGAGCCATTTGAAAAATCATTAAAGGGTGATGCCAGACCAACTATTTCTAGAATGCATGGAGAGTGACCTAAATACCTCAAGAAGAATGAAAATGTAGCACACAATCCGCGCATTTCACGATTGGTTTCTTCGGATCCCCATCCCAGTTAAACAAGCAGCACTAGAAACAGAGCGGTTAAAACTGAAAACCAGATGCATGAGGACTGAAAAGAAAGGGAAAAGTGTGCCTATGGAAAGAAGGAAATATTGTATGGGTTGGTGCTGGTAAATAGACGATAAACGTGTTACCTCAAAAGTGATTAAAAAACCATCATGTCGCCAACTGCGGTGTCAATCATGCACACATTTTCGGGCCTGATGTCTTACATATGTGTAAGCACAGAAGTTTCACACAGAAAAAGGAAATTTGCCTCATCCCAAGTCTAAATTGAAATGTAAAAATGAGATACAATAATAAAATTATACCTACCTCAACCATTTTCTCCGCTAATAATACTGATGAATGGGAGATGGTAGTCTCAACAAAAGCTGTGAGATAGGAAAAAGCTTCACCCATGATGAAAATTCAAGTAAGACTCCAAATGCACGTGTTTATAAAAACCTTAGAGATATGGAAACTACCTCATTAAATTTCAAAGCTCAGACATCACCCTACACAATTCATTAATACGGGCGAACGGGACTTCTAGGTCACCTCCTGTGACTGTGCCTAACAGGGGAACGTGACCTGCTTCGATCATGGTACCTATCCCTGCCTCCATCTCTTCCATTCCTGGACCTCCTGTCCACCCCTCTCCCTCCATCCCTACTACTTCTGCCATTCCACTCCCTCGACCTTTCACGATCCAAGTCTCGTTCTCGATATCTGTCCCGCTCCCTGTCACGATCTCTATCACGGTACCTGTCCCTATCACTTGAATTACTTCTCCTTCTATTCTCCTCTTCCTTCTCCCTCTGTTTCCTCCGTTCTTCTGCCTCTTTCTCCCTCGCTAACCTTTCTTCTTCCCTTGCCTTCTCCTTGGATTCCTGAAAAATAAAGTCCACGTTTTTCAGTCCCTGAGAAGAAATCATGTTTTTCCTTAACTTTAATACTTCAATATTCAAAAGAGGTCACCTTGAACTCAGCGATAAAATCACGAACCATGCCATAACCAATATGCTGCTTCCCCGTAACATGCGACTGAGTTCTCTCTACAGCATCATTGGCCACTAGAAATGAACCACAGATCTCACAAAGTGCCATTTTTTTCTCCTGTGCCAGCATCAACACTTTATCATTCTGGGGCTGAGCCAATGCTGTCTTCTCAGAATTGAGCATATCCACCTTCCAAAAGAAAGGATAAACAAATAAAGTAGTCAAATTTCATGTAGCAGTATATTTCACGGTAATAATTAAAAATCCTCAACTGCATATAACATGAAATCTTTGTATGATAAGGAATCTATCAAAGGAATGCACAATAATAAAACATGGGTGGTGCGGTGTGTAGACTTCCTGGAAAAATCCTCTGTGATACAAGAAACTAGAGGAATTTCAATAGAAATTTCTCGGAAAATAACAGCAGCACCTTTCTCATCAGTGCTTCAGCTTCATCCACCTTTCCAGCTTCACCTAGAGCCTCTGCTTGTTCCAGTAAGTTCTTTATCTTTTCCTCCAGAACAGAGAGCTGTTCGGACTTTTCAGCTGACAGTGGAGGTGCTGGTGCAGGTTCCACCTCCTGAGCAAGGCGTTCTCGCCCACGCTTTACTCTTCTATCTAAATCCATCACCTGCAATGCAAATTATAATAAGATAAAGAAATATAGGTGAAAACCCATACATCACAAAGAGAAATGAGGACATGTTCAAGACATACCAACTTCTCACAAAAGTGAGCAAGTTCAGCTTCAAACTTGGGCACATAAGCATCATGCCGCGGGGACTCTTCAAAACTAAAATAAAAAACATAAAGAATTTAAACTGGACCAATATAAAATAATCACAACTTTGGAACAGGAAACAATAGAAATATTAAAACAAAAGCAAAAACCAGCGTGTTTTGAGCTGGAGAACAAAACCAGAAGAGTGAAACAAAAAAGATTGATATGGAAAAATTTTGGTTTGGTCTCGTGCACTGAATTGTGATATCAAAACTATACTATGCCCGGGTACTTATGAAAAGGGAGAGCGTACTAAGTGACCTCTGGTCATCACCCAAGATCAAAAATAAAACTTCGTGTTTTTCAAACCCTTCTAGATACTCATAAACATTAATGTAGCAATTATATATCATCTCCCTGATAATTAGTCCAATATATATCAACAATACATAGGTAAGAAAAATTAAATATTTAATCTACAAAAGGGCAATAACCTAGAATCCAAGCCCTGCTGAATACAAAAGAGAGTAGACCATGCATATTTATCTGGAAAAACAAATTATTGATAAACAATTCATGCAGCAGACATTTTCTTGGATGTCTCATGCAGCAGAGCATCACTAAATGAATATTTTACTCTATATTATGAGCAACCATTTAGCTACTGCTGACATGGAATTGATAAACGATTCTTCCCTTCTCGGAAAGATCTGTTCAAAATGCTTAAGTAAGTTACCTCAAAAAAGAAAAACCCAGCTACCGCTTAGAATACCCTGTAAGGCATGTCAAAGTTTCATCCTACACCCTACACCACACATAGGAAGCAGCTAACTTATTTGTAGGAAGACAAGAGAAACAACATTCTTACAACAGAAGCATGCAAATGATAAAAAAGTCTTAAGGGTTAAGCAAGCTTAAGCAAGCTACACTTTTTAAAAAATCATGTCGGTCTTTCAATAGAATTCATGACAAAACAATTCACAAACAAGCACAAAGGAACCTCTGTTGAATGCATTCAGAAACTCCATAAATAGCAGAATATGAAAACACCATATAGCATTGCCAAAATAAAAAACTCTATAAGACGTTATCACCTTTCTTTCAACTTTGGGTCATGTAGTTTAGGGCAAGGTCCTGATACAAAAACCAAAAATTTAGTCAGTGAAACCGTGCACCCCACAAAATTAAATTCAAGTACATGATTTGAAAACTGAAAATCCTAACATGATCAAAGCATTTGATCTTATTCCTCCGCAAAAAAAAAAAAAAAAAAAAAGTGTTAAACAAGTGAGCATCAATACGAATTCCAATCGCAACTCACCTAGATCGCTTCGAGTGTTAACGAAGAGATCGTGGGGACAAAATCGAACCATATAGGCTCCACAAACCTCCTTATCATCCCAAGTAATTTCCTTGTACCCCCTTCTCTCCTCCTCCGTCAAATTACGAGCTGGAATTCACCACAAATCAGTATTTTATCAAATTAAAACTAATTCAAACCAAAAACAACCAAGCAAAACATCAAATAAATTAAAACCCATTTCTTTTCTAAACAAATCCAAATTCGCCCAATAACAATTAACAATTATCGTTTCCAAACAGAGCGTCGATCAATTAGGGTTTATACCTGAGCCCATAAGTTCGTCCAGCAGAGCTCTCTGAGCATCCATGGCTCTGTCAAGTGATTATCGGAATTGAGAGAGAAGAAAATCAGAAGGGCTTGTAGCAGAGGAATCAGTGAGGATTGAGCAGCGGAATAACACGTCAATGGCTTCTAGGGTTTTGTTCTCCAAGGACCAGAATCTGAGAGAGACGTTCGAGAAGAAGAGAGAAAGGGCGAGCTGGGCCTAGTGTTGTTTTTATACGTGTGCCAAGTGCTCTTGGTCACCAGATTTAATTTAATTTATTTTTAAAACAAATATACAATAATTATATTAAATTTATTTAAATTAAAAAAATATGTGGCTGAGCACGCTGCAATTAGTTTTTCCTGTATAAACTAAGAATCATAATGAATTAATTATAATAATTTGATTCGAATTCGTTTTTATGATTTAATATTTCTCAATTATACATGAAGATAGAATACGATTAAATTGTAGTACTAAGGGGTGTAGTCAAACTTGGATTTGTGAGGATTTTAATAGATTTTGATACATGATGGATTTCATAGGATTATATAGACTTCTACAAAATCCTATAAATTTTGGAAGATTTGAGAAGATTCATATAACACATTTCTATAGATTTTGAAAGATTTTGTAGCGTTGAATCTTAACCATCAAATAAATCAAATGGTGATAAATGTATCTAGGTCATAAATCTAATCAAATGAAGCTCTTCATGCTCTGGAGCTGCATCCCTTGGAGCCGAAAAAAATAGAAGTTTATCACATATACCCAACTCCTCAAGGATCCCCAGTGCACCCATTTCCAATCCTACTTCCTCCCTCACTTTATTCTTATCCCTCTCGTTGTCACCTTATTTATTCTTAATATTTATTAATGAAACGAATTTATTCATGATAAAAATAAAAAAAAACATAAATAAGCAGACATGCTCTCAACACATGAACCCATGCCGCACAAATAGCAGCAATTAGCAGGAGGGCCAAGCAGCAACAGAAACATTGCAAACATGAAGAAAGATTGCGACCCAACAACAAAAAATTGACGAAAAAAGCGCATAAAATGATGCAACCCAACAACAAAAATTGAAGAAAAAATTGCAAAAATGAAGGAAGAAGATAAAGCAAAGAAAGTGGCTGGCAGTGAGAAGAAAAGGAGTTGTTCATCTATGGTCTTGTTTATATATATTTCTTCCTCTTAAATCCTACAAAATCCACAACTTATGGGTGGTTTGAGAGTGAGGTGCTTAAAAAAAAAGCACCCATGAAAAAAAACCGTGAGCATTTTAGGTGTTTGGTAAATTGAAAAAAAAAGGTTTATTTTGGAAGCTGCTGTGAGAATAAGCTGAAATCAAAGGAAAAAGCTGAAGCTGATATTTGAAGCTTTGGAAAACTGGCTTTTTTTTTCAAAGCACACGGAGCAACAGTGCTCCTTTAATGAAAAGACCCATTATCAGACTGCTTTTTTTTTTTTCCAAAAGCACTTTTACAAAAAAGTTTACCAAACACTCTGCTGATTTATTTCACAGCCGCTTATTCTTACAGCACAGCCACTTATTCTCATAGCAGTTTTTTTTCAAAACACAGCAATACCAAACCAGCCCTTAATGAACTCCTTCAAAATCTTTAATTTTTTAATATATCTAGATTTGGATGGACTTTAAAACTGACTATTAAAATCTCCATTGACTACACCTAGATTTACATGGATTCTAAAAATTCATTAAAATCCATTGGTTGTCTACACTAGGATTTTAAAATCTTTTAAAATCATTTCAAATCCAAATTTGACTACACTCCCTAAATGACCACACTGATTAGTTAATTTTGCTAAACTCAAGCCCATTGCAATAAGTATTTTAGTGCACTTACCCGATCACAGTAAAGATTCTTGTTCAATCAAGCAACAATGGTAAACTCTTTCGCGTAAACGCAAGTTGAGTTTCAGTCCCGCGTAAATTTTGTAAGTGTAAGAGAAGTAATAACTAATATAATCAATATATGAAGCAGTTAAGCTGCATTGCAATCAACTTATCCCAAATAACTCTTTTTTTTTTTTGGCAAACTATCCCAAATAACTCTTTTGTTTTTAGTTAATTGAGCGAAGATGCAATTTTAATTTCAATAAAGGAGGGGTAAAATGTCTCTTTAGGAGAGGTCGTAAAAGGTCGTACCCAGTGCACAAGGCTCCCGCTTTACGCAGGGTCTGGGAGAGGTGAATGTCGGCTAACCTTACCCCCATTTATGGAGAGGCTGCTCCCAAGTCTTGAACTCGAGACCTACCGCTCATGGACGAAGGCACTTGTCATCGCACCAAGTGCGACCTCGTCTCTTTAGGAGAGGCGTTATGAGAAAAATTGCTCATCTTCTGATATGAACAATCATAGATGAAGGTCTCTCAACCCAAGTATAATCGCTCATCTTCGAATTATTGGAAGAAGCGATCAGCAACCATGTTGGCCGATCTAGGCACCCAGGACCAACAACACATCTGGAAAAAGTCCTTCACACACATAATTTACCTTAAAACTGGAACCGTGTCCCATCTGCCTTTGAATGGGGAATTACTTGAGTTTAAAATTACTTCCTTCGAATCCGATTGCCCTTTCATTTATTGTAAAATTGACTAAATCGTCGAAACTAAATGGCCGACTCACAACAATATCCAGTGTCAAGGTTCCAAGACATGCCAATGCCATGCATCAAAGTGACCCTTATTAATTAAATATAAAATTTGCTATTTTCAAATTACTAGGTAAGTTCCCAGACATCTCCCATTTGCTATTGTCAAATTAGATATCTGAAATGCTCTCTCCTCTCTTCTATTATTTTTCTCGCCTCCTCCTCCTCTCTCTACTACTATTTCTCTCTCCTCTCCCATTTGCCTTTTTCAAATTAGATAGAGCCTGAACCGCTCTCTCTACTACCATTTATCTCTCCTCTCCCATTTGCTTTTTTCAAATTAGATAGAGTCTGAAATGCTCTCTCCACTCCCATTTCTCTCTCTACCTCTCTCTCCACTCCCTTTTCTCTCTACCTCTCTCTCCACTCCCACTTCTCTCTCTCTCTACCGCCATTTATCTCTCTCTACCACCATTTCTCTCTACTACGACATCTGCCATTTCTCTCTCTTTGCCTGTCTATATATCTGCATGCAAACCATTTCCTGAGCATTCAAATACCACTTCCATTCAAACCATCAAATCTCACAAACCATATCATCATCAAGTACCTCTACCTCCCGATATATCTCCATCTCTACCTACCTTTGTGCAGAATAAAATGAGTTGTGTTGTTAATACTGCTTGGGATCAGTACTTAAAGCCTTTTCTCCTTGCAGTTACAGTAACGCCAACCCAACGGCTCAAACTTCTGATAATTGGTCTCATCGATCGAGATCGCGATTCCGATCGTGACCTAGAAGCCGCAAGGCAAGAAGTTGCAGACGGGAGGACTAACAATAAGTACGACAACAACAACTTAGACTGGGCAACAATAATCGTAGTGTTTTGCTTGACAGCGGCGATTGGAATAGCAGTTCTCCCCTTCCAAGGTCCCTCCGGCCGGCTCCATCTCCCTGTAATCTTTTACTTTCTTGGACTCTCAGTCTTACTTGCCTTCACTTGTATCTTGGTAAGCAAGTTTATTCACTTCAGCTACTGTCCCGCCGGAATAACAATTGCCCCGATTTTCCATCAACTTGGCCTTTTCTTTGGAGTCACAGCCTTCTTCATATCCATCTCCATCCCATTTCCTTTGTGGTTCAAATGTGTTGCCTTGTCTATCTACGTCGTAACCTTCATCCTTGTAGTTCTCTGCAATCTTCACTTCAATAAATATTACAAAACTCATGGTTTTAAGTATCCTAACCCCACCATTGATGATCAAGCATGTACCAGTCGTATTGAGTGACGTGAAAAAACTGTCATGTAATTAGTGTGTGTATAGATATATACTAGCTATTAGTACCCCCGCATTGCTGCGGGTTTTTAAACCGTATAAAACATGTAGAAAGTTATGATGTATATACATGATAAACATTATTTACACACGTGAAAAACTAATTGCAACCTTAAAAAGGTTTTTACTTGAACTTAACGAAAACATTTTGCACGAATTTTAGTAAGAACTAACTAATATATATCAAGGGATCCCCTCTAATGTACAATTGGCACAACTTAAGAATTTCCAAACTTGGAAGGTTGATTAAAGTCGTTTGCTCAAAAAGAAATAACATAGCAAGAAGTAAAAAATTGAAAACCTAACTTATGTAAAAATAACATTATTTCTAGACATATTTTAAGTGCTGAATATGGGAACATACTTATTAGTCATCGGATTACAAACCTTAGCAAGAACAAACAACAATTTCTGCACCATTGTTTTCTAGCTTCGTAGTTCGCATTGTCGGAGCTATGTAACAAATCTCTCCACATCTTTGAGACTTTTTTGAGCAATCCATGATACCCATGTGACACTGTTGGCAAACATTTCATTTTCAAATTGTCAAGAAATCCAAGAATAATATATTGGTGCAAAGATTCTCTATATTCGAAAAAAATTGCTAAATAAAACCAAACAAATATTTGAGACAAAAAAGGGAAAAACTGCATGCATATAGAACTGAAGGAGAAAATTTATAAAAAGAAAATACAATGCTCCAAGCACAAACCCGGGAGCACAAAACACACAATTGATATTCACATTAATCAGCTATACCAGAATCACTAACCAAGAAAGACCTGATAGTAAACAGTTTCAGTTATGTACAGAGTTTGCATCTGCTGCAAGTCTCCAAGTACTTTTGCCGGGACTGCAGTGAAGGGAAGGGAAAAAGAATTAGACTCTAACATAAAGTATTTTATAAATATCATACATTGTCATGAAAAACATGTATTTTCAAATTATAGATACAATTTATACATCAATAGAGTAGACAACGGGAACTGCTAAAGCATCAATTTAAGAAATAAAAAGCATCAGTGGACATAGAGGCTATGATAAACGTCAAGTAATTGACATTAAGTTAAAAAGGCATCTGCTAAAGTGCAATTAACCCGACCTAGTTTAATTCATGAACTCAACTCGGTTATCCCATCGTATTCTTAATAACTATCCAAACCACGAATGAGATATTGTTGGATCATCATCCAAGAACTGATTCAGATGATTCCCATCGTCAAATAGATTTTCCCTGGTGCAACATAAAAGCATTGTTGAGAAACAATGGAAGAAAATATGTTAACAACGGAACCATATATGTGAGGCAAGTTGGTTTGACATGAAAACAAAAAGTGAAATTGTCGTGAAATTGTCCACTTAAAAGTCACGCATTATTGTTAAAGAAATATGTTAGTGCGTCCAATCTTCTAAGATAACAATGAATCATGGTCAGCTGAGACCTCATTTTTCAAAGATCTCCTCTTGTAAATCAAATATAATTTTGCTTGAAGGTAAATCTTTGTAATAACCCATAACCCAGAACAATGTTTAAAAGCCAATTTATACACTGAAAAGTGAAAACTACATAACTTCACGTCTCTTCTAGAAGGTAACTTTTAGTTCTAATCCATAACCTAGAACAATATTCAAAACCCCAATCTGAAATTTTATTCGGGTACTAACTTCTATAATTTCCAAATCACAAAATTCCAGCATGGGTATGCCGAAACACAATAAAAAATTCAAATACTTCGTGTACAGGACAACATAAAGATTGAGACTTTTTTTTTTTTTTTTTTAACTTCTACAACTCTACAAACTTTCAAGCCCTAAATTTTCCCGGAAACAAACACAAAGTGAAAGAAGTCGTACCTGGTTCGAAAGAACGGACGCTCGAGTTTGGTGGAACAGTGATGGCAGACATCTCTGGTGAGAAAGCTAATAAGATGGACCAAACCATTGAACAAAAAAACCCAAATTTTTAAAATTATTTTGATCAAAGAAAAGAGAACCCAAAAACCAAACCCAAAACAAATATGTCCGAGAACTCACCAGGAAACCCAAGCTTTCTGGGTTTAAAATTTCTTCAAATCAGAACGGGAGCCAAGTTTTCCTGAGTATGGCGGAGTGGAATTGGACTTGGATGAGGCGAATTCAAGGAATTTTAGTTTTGTTGTGAGGAGAACAACATGAACAACCCAATCCAAACAAAATTCTAGAGAGAGACAGAGGACTTACCACGAAATCTAAGCCCCTTGAGGAATTTCTTCGAATCAGAACGAGAGTTCGTGTAGCAAATGGAGAACTACCGGAAGCAAATGAAAAGCCCAGCTTTGTGAGAGAAAGAAGTGGAAACGGAAGGAAAATTCGAGATGTAGTGGAAGCGGGGCAGTCGATGATGATTGACGCGTGGGCAGCATGGACAAATAAGTAAAGAGTAAACTGCCGATTTGCCCCCTGAACTATCACCCAACTTTCGATTTGCCCCCTGAACTTTTTAATTGGAAAATTAAGGACTTAAACTAATTTTTTTGGCCGATTTGCCCCCTGCTGTTAATTTTTCATTCATTCCATCAAAATTTCTGTTAAATGGAAGCATATGCACAACATGTGTAGGTAGTTCGGTCGTTTCATTCTTTAAAATAATTGAAAATCTTAGATTTCTAAAATATAAACCTATGCAAATATGTGTGATTCTATAGCTTTTTTGTCTGAATGTCTAGTGAAATGATGCTTTTGTCCACAAATGAGAGTTACGTGGTTTGCACACGATAAGAGTTAACGTTAATTTGGATGAAATCTATGAAAAACTAATGGTAGGGGGGAAATCGGCCAAAAAAAATAGTTTAAGTCCTTAATTTTCCAATCAAAAAGTTCAGGGGGCAAATCGAAAGTTGGGTGATAGTTCAGGGGGCAAATCGGCAGTTTACTCTAAAGAGTAAATCTACTGTGCAAGGAGGGAAGAAAAAAAAAAATTATTTTAACGAAAAACTTATGGTACTGTTCATTTTAACGAAAAACTATATTTTTACATTAAAAATTCAATCTTGGTACTATTTATTTTACTCTTTAGTTTGTCCTTATCATTAAAACTCAAAATTTTAAAGTCATTTTCATTAGTTTTCTTGAGAAAAAACGGTGAAGAGAAGAGCAAATAAGAGCATTACCACCATTTCACTGTTCACAAACAGTGAAAAACAGTACCAGCCGAACTGGGTTTTAGTATATGTATAATATATATATATGTATGCAACGGTGTGCGCCATCTCCTTTCAATGGGGAGTATGCTTCGGCAAGTTAACTATACGAATTTCACCCTTATACCAAAGAAAGTAGATCCAACTTCTATGATTCAACTAAGACCAATTAGTTTGTGCAATGTGATTTACAAAATCTGTTCCAAAGTGCTTACAAATAGACTGAAAGTGGTATTGCCGAATATCATTTCACCCTTCCAAAGTGCTTTTATTGTTGGAAGATTAATTTCTGATAATTGTTTGGTGGCTTCGGAAATTGCACATTTTATGAAGCGGAAGAATAGTGGCTGGAATGGTGTGATGGCGCTGAAATTGGACATTAGTAAAGCTTATGACCGCATCAAATGGTCTTTCCTTGAACAAATTATGCAAAGGTTGGGTTTCACCGATGAATGGATTACATGGATCATGCGGTGTGTCATGACGGTCTCCTATTCCTTCAAGCTTAATGGGGAGCCTGTAGGTTTTGTCCAACCTAAACGTGGTATAAGGCAAGGGGATCCATTATCCCCGTTCTTGTTTGTGATTTGTGCATAAGGTTTATCGGCATTGTTGGATGCGGGGGAGTCCCAAGGCCGGATTAAAGGTATAAAGGTATGTAATGATGCGCCAAGTATTAATCATCTTCTCTTTGTGGATGATAGTTTTATTTTTGCAAGGAGTACATTACAGGATTGTTGTGAACTGAATAATGTCCTACATACTTATGAATTGGCCTCGGGGCAAGCTGTTAATTTGTCCAGGAGTTATGTGTTGTTTAGTGCAAACGTGAATGATGTGGATGCCCAGATGATTGCTGGTTGCCTGGGTATGAGTAAAGTTAATTACCATGATCGTTATCTTGGATTACAGGTGTACACCGGTAAGTCAAAGAAACAAACACTTGCTTATATCAAAGATCGCCTTTGGAAAAAATTGAATGGATGGTGTGGGAGTTTGTTAAGCAATGTTGGTAAGGAGATCTTGATTAAAATTGTCGCACATGCGGTTCCGTTGTATACCATGCAGACTTTCTTGCTTCCAAAGACGTTCTGTGATGAGTTGAATTAGATGGCTGCCCAATTTTGGTGGGGGAAAGAGGTTGGAAAGCGACATATTCATTGGGTGAGTTGGAAGAAGATGTGCAAGCCTAAAAGTGAAGGAGGGTTGGGATTTAAAGATTTGTATGCTTTTAATCTTGCTTTGCTAGCTAAGCAAGGTTGGCGGATCATTCAACAACCGAATTCTCTTGTGGCCCAAGTGTTTAAAGCTCGGTATTTCCCTGATAGGGAATTTTTAATAGCTCCAATAAAATCAAATTCCTCATTATGTTGGAGAAGCATTGTAGCAGCTAGAGTGCTGGTTCAACGTGGGGCTAGATGGAGGGTAGGTGACGGATTGCAGATTAAGGGAGGGGTTTGGGAGTGAGGTGCTTAAAAAAAAGCACCCATGAAAAAAAGCTGTGAGGGTTTTAGGTGTTTGGTAAACTGAAAAAAAAAAGGCTTATTTTGGAAGCTGCTGCGAGAATAAGCTGAAATCAAAGGAAAAAGCTGAAGCTGCTATTTGCAGCTTTGGAAAACTGGCTTTTTTTCAAAGCACACAGAGCTACAATGCTCCTTTAATGAAAAGACCCACTATTAGACTGCTTTTTTTTCCAAAAGCACTTTTACAAAAAAGTTTACCAAACACTCTGCTGATTTTTTTCACAACCACTTATTCTTACAGCACAGCCGCTTATTCTCACAGCAGTTTTTTTTCAAAGCACAGCAATACCAAACCAGCCCTAAGATTTGGGGGGATAACTGGTTGTCGAGGGATAATTATGCTAAAGTGTTGAGTCCGGTACCTGTAGGAGTCCATCATTACCTCACGGTTAGATCTTTAATGGTGGAAACAGATAGGCTACGATGGAATATGCAGGTGGTATCACAAATGTTCTTTCCTGAAGAAGCCAATCTAATTCTCAGTATTCCTTTGAGTTTTTTTAATCCACCTGATAAGTTAATTTGGATAAAAGAACCTCGAGGGAATTTTACAACAAAGAGTGCATACTTTGTTGCTCGGACTTGTAGTGAAATTTGTGGAGATATTCCAGGCCATTCTGAGATTTCAATAGAGATTAAATTATTATGCAAGGCATTATGGCGTGCTAAAGTACCCGGGAAAGTCAAAATCTGTATTTGGAGGAGTTGCTTGGATGCTTTGCCGACTCGAGTTAACTTGCGGATTAAAAAGGTACTTATGGATGATTGTTGTGTTTTCTGTGGTAATGAACTGGAAACGATTGAACATATAATGTTGAGGTGTTTCCATGCTAAGGCGATATGGTCCTCTAGCCCCTTGGGATCACAATCTATGCAACATGGAGATATGGGGTTAAAAGGTTGGTTGGCTCGTGTGTCTTCTAATATATCAAAGGAGAGATTTGACTTAGTGCTTGTTATGCTATGGAATATTTGGAAAGCTCGTAATGATCTGTTTTGGAAGGGTTCGGTGTTGCCACCGCAGGATATTCCGATAAAGTCACATACTTGGCTGAATGAATTGAAAAAGTGGAACGTATCGCAGCCTAAACCTAAGTCTCTAGATGTACAGAAATGGAGGAAGCCGGACGAAGGTTGGCTAAAATGTAATTTTGATGGCGCGTGGGATGAACATGGAGCTGTAGGAGCAGTGGGAATTGTTCTCCGCGATGGTGCTGGGGAGTTTGTTGCTGCAACGGCATTTAAAGTGGAAGGAATTTCATCACCTTTGTTGGCTGAAACTATTGCAGCTCGTGAAGCTGCCTTGTTTGTACAACAATGGAGGTTGCAAAAAGTCATATTGGAAGGTGATGCCCTGTTGGTAATTGCTGCCATTCAGAATGATTTGGATGTAAATCATGGACCTCTCTGGGCATATCTTGTCTGATATACATTTGCTTTTACAACCGTTCCAATAGTGGAAGGCACACTTTGTGCGACGAGATGCTAATATTGTGGCTCATCGGCTAGCTCGCAGAGGTTTAATTTTGGAGCAATCAGTTTCATGGTTTGAAGCGAGAGAAAGAAAGAAAACTATTGCACACGCCCCTCATTCGCCCCTTGATGTAATTGTTGATTTACTTTTGAAACATAATTTGAATTCTTAATTTTGTTGGTGCGAGACGCTCTTTTTCCCTTCATTCGGATTTTATGTCGCGGGAAGGTTTTTATCGAGACCCATTGTTAGCACCCTTTCAATTTGCTTGTACGTTGTTCCACCTTGAATTGAATATCGTACTTGTTTAAAAAAAAACAGTTGTTTATTCTGTTTGGGGTTTAGTTGTCTGCAACCTCTCACTAATGCTATGTTTCATCAAATCTAGTTAGTTAATTAGTTACTTCTATATATTTCTTTTAGTGAACGTATTTATAGATAAATTAAAGAACAAACGTTGCATAATATACTCCTATCATTGAAGAAGATTACAGCTACAACTGGAATGATGGGCAGCCGGAAGCCCTTCAACAAACTTACCAATTGTCCTAATAAAAGTCTATTACTTTCCACTTGAATATTCATTCCAATGAACTGAAACATTTTTTCAATCATTGAAAAGCTTTCGAAACATCACTATTCCCGGAATTTAGATCCTCCATCTTAGTCTGGCAAATACCCAAAACCATGGCTATTCGGTTCTACTATATGCCATCTTCAAGAAGTTTCTTAGACTCAAATTCTAAATTCTCATATATTGGTCATCTACATTCGACCAAAAATTTAGAGGAATTTGCATTGGAGATGACCCTTACTAAAAGGTTTTGGACCACTCTCTCTCCCCTAAGAATAAATAATTTAACACACTAATGCTATCATTTGTAACAAAAAAATAAAATAATCATAACTATGTTTGTTCATATTTATTTGGACTTATTTTACTCTGAAAATGAGCGATACATGTTGTATTCAATCTAAATAGTTGTCAAAAGGACGACATGACGTAAAAAAACCATGTACGTCTCTTGAAATGACATCATATGCAGCCACAGTTTCAGAGGGAATCGAAAAGTCGTGTTACATCGAATGATGGGAATAGTGATCAGAGGGAAATTTGGAAAATAACAAAACTATGGACCCTATATAGAATATAATTACCCTTTTAAGTTTATGATAATTATAATCAAAATTTGATA